GTTTTATTAGGTTATCACTACAATCACTAAATGAGTCTTAGTTGTTGCATTTGGACAGAAAAACATGTATAGGGAAAAGAAGGAATTGTCTTGCACTATAAAAAATGAGTTCTCGAAGCTGTAAACAAAAAGATGATTGTTTTCCAAAACTATTTCAATCTTTTCTACTTCAAAATTTCATGTTTAATTCAATATGTTATTTGCCATATCTGTAATTTTTTGTGAAATTTACCAAGTGAAAATTGTATCAACATACATCCTACCTACACCAATTTTTGTGTGCGCGCACGTATGAGGTGTAAATTAGCATTTTTTTAATCTTACCTTGATCTGTTTTTGTATTCGTTTGCAATTTTACCTCCTGATGCTTACAGCAATACCCATGGCTCTCCACGTATGCCAAAGCCGTAATATGACTCTACTCAATCTAAGCATCAAAATGACCGAGGAGCTCTCTTACCTGCAGGGCATCCAATTATCTGCTCAAGCCTGAGAGAAATAACTCTGTTTTCTGAGAAGCTGAACACTGCACAGCGTTGGCATAGTTATCCACTGCTTCACGCCGTCCTCTCAATGGCATTTCCTTTTTACCACAGGAAATGCTGTCAAAAGCGGAACATCCATTAACAGCCTTTAATTCCATTCACTTGTAATGACTGGGCACCCTGATAACCTGAGTAATGAAACTTGAGTGAAGATTCAGTGCTAAAAGGGATAATTTCACACAGAGTTACTCGTCTCGTTTCAAACACGGTGCATTGAGGATAGCAGAGGCCAGGGTACTTATTAAACCCAAAATATAGTGACAGGGGCATCATTAGCTCGGCTAGAAGTGCGTCAGTAGGAAATGCCCATGAATAAGGACACACGGGGCGGACTTTGACATACCAATGAAATAAATTTCCCACAAGTACGGATGAGGAAAAATGGCTCTCACTTAAACTCTATTAGTCTTCATTTATATGAGTCATAGGGTACAACAATAATTTGTTTCTATTGTAAAATAATAGACAGGGACTATAATTTAGGTTTCAAAAATATAGCATGTTTTAGAAATACGTGAGCAATTGTGACAATAGATTGCATCATAAACACATGTTGTTTTCTTGTATTTAATTTACATACGTCAGCAGTATAACTGTCTACAGAATACTACAATTGGGCATTTGAATCCAGCAGTGACTCGCTTTGTATTTTTGAGAATTTCACAGCATGATGTGGAGCTGTTGATTAAATCAGTACTGCAGTTCTGCATCTAATTATTTCTCTGAGTGTTTGTTTGTGTGCAGGTGTGTGTGTGTGTGTGTGTGTGTGTGTGCATGTTTATGTGGTTTATGAGGACACAAAT